GAAAAAAAAAATACAGATTTTTCTGGGTCAACTTTTTTTTTTTTTTAGGTGACAAAGGAAAAAAAATGACATAAAAGAATTTTTTGAAAAAGGACAGAAATTCTTTCCTTCTTCAAAATTCCTTTGTTCTTTGTTTGGTTAAAAAAAAGTTGACCTAGAAAAAATATAACTATGTTTTTTTCTTATATATATATATATATATATATATTGAGAGTGACAGTTTTTATGTTGTGAATCCATTCTTATGGACCCGCATTGAATCTTTTCAATCAAGTGTGTAAATAAAGGATTTTTAAAAAGAGACTTGAGATTCTTCTTTCATATTTTTTTTCTATTCAATAGTAAAAATTTCGATAATTCTAAATTTTTGTCTCTATATCTTGGTTTTCATTCGAGAAAAAGAGTTTTATGTTACTTATTAAAATAATAGCGAATTTGGATTATATTCTTTAGAAATTTGTTTACGGATTCGTGAAGTGATGGAATGTATAGTTCTCAAAACAATAATCTTTTGTTAAATTCAGCTGCTGTCGAGACGGATTCAAATTTCCTCAAGTGTATAGATCGAATATCTCTCTATTATCATCAAAATATGTGTCATTTAAAAAAGACAAAAAAAATTCTTTACCTAAAATCAGGAATAATAAAAAATTCAATATAAAAAATTAATTGTTATTCAAAGAAATAATAATAATAATAAAAAATAATAGTAATAATTTTAAGTACATTAATAATTAATACAATTATATAATCTTATTATGAAATAGTGACAGAATATATTCCGGGACGTAATCCCTAAAGTAGGTCTATTGGACCCGAACGATACATAGTTGTACAATTAAATAATTATATATAAAATCTACTTTTTAACCTTCTTAACTATATTAAATGTGTAATGTTATAAATGTGCAATAATAATAATAATAATAATAATAATAATAATAATAATAATAATAATAATAATAATAATAATAATAATAATAGTAATAAAATAATAGAATAGAATAATATATATAATATAATAATTAATACTACAATATATTATAATCATAAATTGTAAAGAAGAATGATCTTTGGTACGTAATCTCTAGTGTAGGTCTTTCTTACCTAAATGGTATATAAGAGTACAGTAAAGTTCTCATATTTACAAAAACGTCTTATAGAACTTTTTTAAAATAATATACAATATAATAATATTATTATTATTATTATTATTATTATTAAAAATGATAATGTTGAGATCAAAAAAAAGACGCTCGTTCCGGAGTTTTTTGAAATTAATTTCCGCATAAAGAAATATTCCCGAGAAAATAATACTCATTAGTATTTATGACTTTGTCGTTTGACTTTATTATCCGTTTAAATATGCTTGGCATTTATGACCTGCCCCATTAAAATTATACTTACGAGAAATATATTATTCAAGTTTTAAAACGCAAATGCATTATAAAATCATTGCATTTACAATGCGCGCCTATTTTAATTGAATAAAAAAAAAAAAAAAGAAAAGAAAAATACTTTAAAAAATTTCCAAATTCTTTACAAATTAATAATAATTATATATATATATATATAGATAACAAATTTTTCTCCACAATTACATTTTCCGGTGGAAAAAAATAATAATTTTTTTTTCCACATCAATTGTTAAGACAAACAAAAAAATTTCGTAACATATAATTTGTCGATAGAAACTTGAAGGGGGAAAAAAAAGTAGGGAAAGAAAAATAAGTTGAACTTCTAAGATTGATTTAAAATACTAAAGCGCAAGAGATTACTTTCCCTTCTCTGGTATCTGGGTTATGTTTGCAATGCGGGCGAAAGAGAGAGAGAGAGAGAGAGAGAGAGAGAGAGAGAGAGAGAGAGAGAGAGAGAGAGAGAGAGAGAGAGAGAGAGAGAGAGAGAGAGAGAGAGAGAGAGAGAGAGAGAGAACCATCGATTGAGAGTATCTATTTTGCTGCGAAACTAAACACACAGGATCAAGTACCACCCGCACACGTGAGCGATTATACAATGAGCGCAAAGAGATACCAACTTAAAAAAAAAAAAAATGGGGCTACTGAATATATCCTTATGCAGGCATTCTATATGTCGACCTACGCAACAACTAGCTATCTCAATATGAGAGGAGGGGGGGAGAGAGTCACTCTCAATGATATCTCTCATCTTCGTCTAGTTTCGTTTGGATACAGTCGTCACTACACAAAACAAGCTCTCGTGAATCGAGATACCTTTCAAGTTGATTTACTTATTCAAATCAACCTCCTTCTTCTCTTCTATTATAATAATTGAAAGTGAGTATTTTTTTTTTTTTTACTCTCCATTTTATTATACAATGTATTACAATCGATTATTATCAAAATTCCAAGAATTTTTCTAGTGTTATATAAACGGCCAAAAGTATATATAATTTATTTATTATTTTATTTTATTAATATTATTTATTTAATTTAATTAATGTAATTATTTATCTAATTTTATTAATAGAAATATTTAATTTAATTAAGATATTTATTTTGTTTAAGCAACATAATTATTATTATTTATTTAATTTTAATTATATAATTTTTTTAATGCAGTATTTGAACTTTCCCGCGTATATGAGAAAAGCACATGCGCACCGGGTCAAAAAGATCGACACTAGGGATTACGTCCCAAAACATAATTCGTCATTAGAATTGTTTATTATTATTATTATTATTATTATTATTAGTATCATTATTTTTTTGTTATTATTATTATTATTATAATTATTTTTGTTATTATTATTAGTATTGTAGGATATCCTTATTGGATATATGTATTGTAAATTTGAAAAATTGAAAAAAAAACCGATTGGATGTTTCTCTCTCTCTCTCTCTCTCTCTCTCTCTCTCTCTCTCTCTCTGCGTGCGGTATTTGTGAGGCTGGTCGTACGCACAGCTGCGTTTATTCAATTACACGTATATAGCGATGAGGCGGGAGAGAGAGAGAGAGAGAGAGAAAAGATATATTCTCGAACTCTTGGTGTGCCGTACGCGTTTACGTCCATTAATATTAACGGCTTAAACAACGATAATAACGGAGAACTATGGGGAAGCGAGGTGTTTTCTTCTTCGATGGTTCGACCATAATCCCCTGGCGCGCCTCCCTCTCTCTCTCTCTTCATTCTCTTGTGCAATTCTCTCTCTATGAACGCCTGTCTGTATGATTATCCTCGTCTAGTGTTCCACGTTTCTTTTTTATTTTTCTTTTTTTTCTTTCTCAATTTTTCTCCCTTAAACCTTCATCTAAATCTAGAGGGAAAACGGAAAACAACATATTGTACTTCCGGTTTCTGTCTGGAGGCAGTATTTAGTATATTGAAAAAATAATATATAGGAAATTAAAATGAGGAGGGAATTCAAATTCAATGAGGTATTTTGCTATTCGCCTTTTTTTGTAATTTATTTGGAATTTTCAATTTTTAGACCAAATTTCAGCAGACTGGGTCAAAATAACCGAAGGAGACTAAAGCGTGAACATAGAGGTTATATTGTTTGAGATTTGCTGTATTTTTTTTATTAATAATTCGTAAAATTATAAATTTGTACCAAATTTATGCACACTAGGTCTAAATGACCGAGTGGAAATTAACTGAAAACTTACTTACCAAGTAAGGTTATACTGTTTGGTGTTTGCCGTATTTTTTTAGTAATTTATTCGTAGGTCTGTAAATTTGTACCAAATTTCCGCTAACTGTATCAAAATGACCAAAGGCGTTTAAGCCAAGATGTAACAAAAAAGTTATATTATTATTATTATTATTAAGAGGTTTTCTTGAATTTTATTAGTAATTTATTCGTAGGTCTGTAAATTTGTACCAAATTTCCCCTCACTGGGTCAAAATGACCGAATTGATTCTAAAGAGAGGTTATTGAAGTTTTCGCTACATCTTTTAAGTATTTTACATGTAGATCTACAATTTTGTACCAAATTTACACTAACTGGGTCAAAATGACAAAAGAGTTGATGCTTAAGGAGACGTTAAGTTGATATCATACTTTGGAATTTATAAAAAAATATTTACGTAATTGTATTTCGCGATGCAGGTCCTAATGTTATAGACTAAATATGTAAATTTTAATATGCAAATTAAAATGCAAATAATCCCCTTCTTCTCTTCACTTTTCTCCCTTTCTCTTTCTCTCTCTCTGTTACAAACAAACAATCTTCATCCACATTATTAGCCTCCAGGTATTCGGGAGGATGTTTCGCATCTAAATAACAAATAAAATACTAATATAAATTTTAATTATTTTTTTTTTTACTTTTAATTAACACAAAGGGGAAACAAAAAAGTTAACCTTTTTTCAGAATCAACTCGGTCATTTAGACCCAGTGTGCGGAAATTTGGTACAAATTTGTAATTTGTATTCTGTAATCTGGAATCCGTCATTCTACGAAAAAATTACTGAAAAATGTAGCAAACCTCAAATATAACTTCTTTGATTATATTTTAGTTTATTCTTACTCGGTCATTTAGACCCAGTGTACGGAAATTTGGAACAAATTTATAGATCTACGTGTTATTACTAATCAAATACGACAAACCTCAAACAATATAACTTCTTTGGTTACATCTTCGTTTATTCTCAGTCGGTCATTTAGACCCAGTGGGCGAAAATTTGGTACAAATTTAAAAAACAAAAAAAAATTTTTCTACTAATTAAAAAGTAGTTTAAACAAAATTGTTATTTTCTTTTTAGTGATTAGAAAATAGATTTTAAAAGTCAAAATAAAAAAAAAATCGAGAGATTTATTTTTTAATGATGAAGGGAAAGATTATTATAGACTTAAAATTCGTTGTATTCGAATTGAATTGGGATTAAAGTCTAGTCTTTTGATGACGGTCATCCTCACCTTTTTCAGTCCTTCTCCACCTCCTCCTTATCCTTCTCATCTTTCTCCTTCCATCGATGATGATAAGTCGCGAATCCCATGTTTCAAATTCACTAAAGGAAGAACAAAAATAAAAAACCTTTTTTTTGTAAATAATACAATTTTTTTATTATAATACATTTTTTTTCGCAAAACTTTTCTTACATATGACAAAATAGAAACAATTATATACATATACATGGAGAAAAATATTCTCGTATTTATTTTTTTCTGGGATTGCAAAAAAAAAAAAAAAAAAAAAACTCGCGAAGGTATTTTCTTTGCGCGTTTGTATTTTCCAAGAATGATTTGATCCCAACGAAGAGTAATCACACGCTTAGCGTCAACCGTAAACATCACGCAACAACTGACACGCAAGAAGCGGATTAAAAAAGAAAAAGAGAAGAAATCCTTTGAACCGTGACGAATTCAATGATTAATCCCCACAAGTTGCCGCCCTTTCTATATATATATACATGTTTGAATCTTAAGTTTCCGTGCTAACCTTGACCCCTACAGGAAAGGACGTCGACAATTTTCTCTTCCTGCATACCTTCCAGGTGAGAATAAAATTACCACGGAATTCTATTGAAAATCCTGGATTTTAAAAAAAAAAAAAATTTTTTTTTTAACACACGGTATTGTAAATTCCTTCCTCATCGTCAAGGCTACAGGGAAGATCAGAAATTTCCGAAGCTAGTTTCACGTAACCTTGATCTTTTTTTCCACCAATTGAAGAAGGCGATGGAATTTTCAAGTAGCGTGAATCTTCGCAAATCTCGGCATAAATTGCCTCTGGTTTGGTCGTTGGTGGAGTTCGTGGCTGTGGGGTGAGACTATCTCTGACCTTGGAGTAAGGCGGATCGAGATCGGACGATTGGGATTGTACTTCAAGGACGCTTGTGGACACTGACCTTTGCACCTGATGCCTCGCTGATGATGATGATGATGATCCACCATTTGGTAATAGTGAATTTGCTTCCGATTCGAGACTCGCGTATCTCTCGGGACATCTCATTGCAATTTCTGGACGTACAGCAAATGTAAATGAAGCTGATTTTTTCGCTGGGTTACGATTTTTACCACCGTGTGTTATTCTTGTGATTTTTTCCAAAAAACCACTATTATTATTTTGACGCGTTTGACTACGATCGCGAATTGTTGATTTTTTAATATGTTCCAAACTTTCACGAAGACTTTGAAGAAGTGGTTTTGTCTCGGGTTTTGATTTTATTTCTTTGAGATGCAATTCCTTGACTGGTTGTCCACAGGATGTTGCCTGTGGTGTAGCGACCCTTGGTTCCGTTGCTCTTTGATCTAAAGCTCTTCTAAAATTAGAAAAGGAAATTTTTTTTTTGAATTTCAGAAAAAGGCATTTTTCCATAAGGTCGAAAATCACTTGGCCTGTTCAAGGGACGCTCAACCTTATTGAAAAATGGGTTTTTTACTTTAAACGGTTTTTTTACCTGCACGCTGATAGTAGTCGTTGCATTTTCGGTGAGGAGAGAAGACGTGATTCGGAGGGACATCCTAAACGTGCTCGTTTGACTCGTGGCGCTGTGGGTCCAATGACGACCAATTCAAGAAGTTCGGGAATAGCGCTGTGGGGAATTGGCCTTTCTGGTACTAAGGGGACTGCACATCCCAACACTATTGGTCCTCTGTTTGCAGATTCCAGCTGCATTAGACCACTGTAGTCGCGAGGAAGAGGTACAGGTAGTGGACCAGCCACAAGACGAACCTTAAAAGAAAAGTTAGGATAGGATACATTTAACTTTTGGAAGACTAAAGGTGGTTTTTGAGAAATGTATTTAAAAGCAAAAAAAAAAAAAAAAATTGGCCTTACCCTAATTGGAAGATCCCTTCTTGCGAGTTGATGAACCCTGTAAAGAACGGCATCACTACCAGTGTCGAGTGTTCCGCTTTGACAGGTGGCATAGAATTCCCCTCTTGTTGTTAGAGGTGCAAAAAGCTCGTGTCCATGTGAATCCAAACATTGGGCGTACTGATCTCTTTCCGATGACCTTGAACTTTTGCCTTCCGTTATACCAGTTGAAACACCGGATATCCCCGATGTTGTTGGAGCTCGTCGCGTGTCTTGAAAAACGGCAGTCAACCTTAATACTTCACCGGCCCTCACCGTTGTCTTCGTGTAATGAGCTCTCAGATTACCGTTTTCTGTGTGACAAAATTATGACTTAATCTTTTTCCAACAAACGGAGGTTTTCTACTTTATGCCCACTTGACTCATATAATTCGTACATTGACCCAACAAAAAAGGCAGGTGTTAGAAAAATTTAATATTCTTTGGAATATCATAAAATTTGTCCGTAATTTATATCTTATTAAATAGACTGCAAATTGAAAGTGATTAATATTTTTCTAAATTTAGATATTTTCATTATATAGATTCGAAGGAGGCTTCCATTAGCAATATAGTTTTGTTTTTTCATCGCGATATATATGTTTCTTAGGGAAAAAATTTACCTTACCCCCATAGCAAATGGATTGTAATTTTAACTCTTCATTTCATTCGCTTCGCTTCGAATCCTGTCATTATAGAGTAACATAAGATTTTCAAATTATACTGACGCGTCTTTGAAACGAGACCACATCAGAAGAGGTAATCATGAGTTTACGTTTACTATAAGGGAGACTATCCGATGATCAGGGTTTTAAAGTCCTAAAGAAGAAGAGGAGGAGGAAAAAACAAATGATAACCCCCGCCATTCCACGCCTATTGAAAAACATAATAGTTATGGTGTGTATAATGGCTGTTTGGTATCGTACACGGCTTTCACCAGGCCGCGTGCTTATTACGTTACGTTCCTCGCCCACGTTTAAGACGCACGAGCTGTGGCGACAAAAGAGTGCCTGCGATATGTCGATGGGCAGTTCTGGAGCTACGACAGACACATTGACATCCAAGTCATGGCCAGTCGCTGCACCCAGCATTTTTTTCTCTCTTTGTTTTTTTTTCCTCGACATATTTCCAGTTACGTGCGCCACAAAGGCATCCTTTGTGTAATAATTTTGCTTTAAAGGATTTAATTTGAAATTTTTTTTTAATGAAACACTTTAGAAAAACATTTTTTTAAAGGTTAAACTAAACTTTTCTGAAGGTTAAACCAAATTTATCTAAAGGTTAATTTTTATTTTTTGAAAAGTTACCTTTTCGAAAGGTTAATTTTAATTTTTTGGAGAGTTAAACCAAACTTTCTGTATCGGATCAGTACTGCGGCAGTAGTAGTTAATTTTCGATAATGTAGTCTATTGAAAAGTTAAACCAAACTTTTGGAAACTGTAATTTTAACTTTTTGATATGTTATACTTAACTTTTGGAAAGGTTAAACCACTTTTCTTAATGTTAAACCACTTTCCTGAAGGTTAAACCACTTTTTTGAAGGTTAAACCACTTTTCTAAAGGTTAAACCATTTTTTTTAAGGTTAAACCAAACTTTTCTGAAGGTTAAACCATTTTTCTGAATGTTAAACCACTTTCCTGAAGGTTAAACCACTTTTTTGAAGGTTAAACCACTTTTCTAAAGGTTAAACCACTTTCCTGAAGGTTAAACCACTTTTTTGAAGGTTAAACCACTTTTCTAAAAGTTAAACCATTTTTTGAAGGTTAAACCAAACTTTTCTAAAGGTTAAACCATTTTTCTGAAGGTTAAACCACTTTTTTGAAGGTTAAACCACTTTCCTGAAGGTTAAACCAATTTTTTGAAGGTTAAACCACTTTTCTAAAGGTTAAACCATTTTTTGAAGTTTAAACCAAATTTTTCTAAAGGTTAAACCACTTTTTTAAAGGTTAAACCACTTTTCTAAAGGTTAAACCATTTTTTTGAAGGTTAAACCAAATTTTTCTAAAGGTTAAACCATTTTTCTGAAGGTTAAACTCCTTTTTCTGAAGGTTAATTTTAACTTTCCGAGAACCTAATTTTTGTATACGTTAATTTTTACTTTCTGTAAAGTGAAACCACTTTTGGAAAGGTTAAACCAAAAAAAGAGAGAAAAAGAGAGAGAGAGAGAGACGACTAACAATCCTTGGAACGTGTTTTGTGGTTACGCGCAACTCAAAGGTCGAAAAAGTGCAAATTTACAATCGACGCATTCGTGGGAAAGGCAAATGTCGAGAGGCGTTAATTAACCTCTCATATATGAGTTCATGGTCTTCTTTTCTCAAAAACTTTATTATAAATCGTAATTTTGAAAATATATTTCCCCCCTAAAAAAAATGTATTACCCACCCATTTTTGAATGCGTTAACGTATAGGCTCTCAGGGGTTTGGTGAGTAGAAAAGCCGGAACTCCCGCCTTGACAAGGGCACCAACTCTTCGATAGACACGTGCACTTCCAGTACCGCTATTACTTGACACAATCGAGAACCATCCTGTAACAGAAAGATAAAAATTTCATAAATTTAACTAAATTTTTTCAATGTTAAGTTTAATCCTTTCCAAAAGGTATAACTAACCCTTCCAAAAGTTAATTTTAACTTTTTTCTTGAAAGAATGCGACAAACGTTACAGTTACAATTTACATGTGTGTTTCGGTCAATAAACACCTTCTACATCGGAAATTGATAACTATAAATAATCAAGAAATTAATTATTTTCAATAATATATCGAAAAAAAAGGAATTTTATCTCCCTTAAACTTGTTCGTGGATAGAGCAAAAAAAAAACATTTCCCTCGTGAGTATTTAATCAGCAAAAAGAGCGGAAACAGAGCCAATTATATCAGTAGCCCGATTAGCGCTCTGCTACCTACTACTACTATTGGAAACTGTATTATCGACAAAACTGATAATATAAAAGAAGGTGGGTATTCGGCAACCGTGTTTCCATTATCAGCGACAATTATCTTGGACCAATAAATGCAATAGGTGTAGACTAGTTGAGATTAGTATTTCCTTTTATATCCCTTTATATACAAATGTAATACCTTATAAGTAAAATGTCTTAATTAAAATCGCGGAAGGCGATTCAAATCGTCTTTATAACTAAAATTCTAAAATTCCTCGAAGTACTTTTGGTAAAACCGGTAAAACACTTTTTTTTTTTTTTTTTTTTTTTTTGAATTGTACATATTTTGAAAATGGGAGTGTTATGGTCTCAATACACCCGCAGTTTCACAATAAATTTTGCTCGAAAACCCTTCACCGAATCCATGCTTTAAACCGTCCAATAAAAATATCATCGCGGTATACACCGCGAGTCCAATGGACCTTGTTGTAAATCAATCCAAGATGGCGGAGATATCGCGTATGCCGCGGGAGAGAAAGAGAGAGAGAGAGAGAGAGAGCTTGCTAATCGGTCTTTAGAGTTATACGCCTCCCCTTGTAAATAGTGACTTCAAGAAACGGATGTTTACATTCGACTGTAAATTATCCCTTCCCATTCGGCCCAACTGCGTCTAACCAACCACTGAGATGCGTATGAAATCTTGCGCGCCGCGAATCGACGATAAATTATTAATTTAACTTATTGCATTGGCGGCCCACGATCGCAATGTTTTCATACATAAATATAGATGTATATATATATATATATATATATATATATATATATATGAAAGTTTCATATATACATATAAGCGCCCACGGATAGGCGGGTCATTCTTATATCAATTCAAAATGAAACAAAGACTGTCGTCGCCTTTCTCATTTTTTTTTTATTATCCTCTGTCAAATATTGATTTAGCGGAATCAAAAACAAATTTTTATTATTAATAGCATATAGAGTTAATTTTTGATTTTTAAAAAACAAGGGAATCGGGCGGCCACAGAAGAAAGCCCTGTTTCAGCCCGATTAAAACCGGGGCCCGATCAGGGCCTGGTTTGGCCCAGATTTCCTTTTTTAACCAAGTCGGGTCCAGGTTGGCGAATTTCTGCACGAAAAGAAGTTAAATTTAACTTTCCGTGTAGAAATTTTGCCAGGGCCCAGATCGGGGCCTAATCAGACTGCCCTATTAGGAAATTAAACACCGCGCCTGCGATATGGCCTGATTAGGAAATCTACATTTCCGCCCTGATGTGTCCCTAATCAGCGTTTCATTCCCTACAAGGGCTCTGACAGGGCAACAGAGGCCAAATGCCTAGATCGGGGCCAAACCAGGCCCCAGTTTTAATTGGGCTGAAACAAGGCTTTTTTCTGTTGCCCTATCAGGCCCCTAGTAGGGAATTAAATTTGCCACACCTAATCAGGATCAAATCAGAACGCCCAGAAAATGTGGATTTCCTAATTAGGGCCATATCAGGCGTGGCGTTTCATTCCCTACTAGGGCCCTTATATAGGGAAATTTGTACACGGATTTTGAAAACCTTAATTTTAATTTTCTGAAAAGTTACACCTAACTTCTGGATAATGATTAAGGTAATAATAATTAATTTAAAGTTTGAAATTTACTTTTAAGTAAAAATTAATTTTCCACAAAATTGAAGTTAACTATTGGCACAAAATGAAAAAAATAAGAAACAATAATGTGGGAATATCCGCAGTTCTGAAAGTAACATATTCAAAAATAAATCACCAACAATTTTTTTTTTTTTTTTTGAAAAAGGAGGACGAATATTAGTCACGGATTTTCCCGCGAGAAATAGCCTAAGGCACTTTTTCAGAATAATATCATCCTTTTTCTCTCTCTCTCTCTCTCTTTGATCTCGTTAGACAATTTACCTTTTTGACCTGTGTTTTGTATATAAATTGGCGAAATTTGAATGTGAAATTAGCGCAACAATTCAAAATGGAAAAGGAGATTACAAAATAAACCGTAGAACGAATGACCGAGTGTGTGGCATAGAGACAAAAGTCTCTGTAATTTCATGTTAATGGGGTGAAAAACCGCACCGATGCAATATAACTGTATATATAATGTGGGCAAACCCCCCTCCCCCCCTCAACTCTCGACGGCTTTTAGACTAGTGCATTAATGTATATCAAATGGGTAGCAAGCAGCAAACAACAAGGGGACGACTTCTTATCGTGATTATGTCCCGGTTTCGAGAGAGCTCACGGGAGAACCATTGGTCGCGCTTGAGTAACGGGTCAGAGACCAGGAGACCCGCATAAAGTGTCTGCGCAGAAGAGCGAAGAACATCACGACTTTGACCAATACACACCCATAAATAACGAGAGTTGCATGGTTCATTTTTTTGCCTCTACTTTTTTGCCCCTCCCTCGTTTTCTCCATCGCTTTTTTTGCTCTGTATAGTTTAAAAATGATTTTTTCTAATGATTTTTAAATTTTTGAAATCGGAAAAAAAAAATTATATAACCCAGTGATAAAATTTTAAAAAAGTTAAAATTACCTTTTGGAAACGTTAATTTTAAGTTTTCATAAATTTTAAATTTTTGAAAAGTTCAAACTAACTTTTCGAAAGGTTAATTTTAACATTTTGAAAGGTTAAGTTTTGGATGAGTCAAAGTTAACTTTTGGAAGAGTTAAATTTAATTTTTTTGAAGAATTAATATCAAACTTTTGGAAGGTTACGGAAGGGTTAGGGTTAACTTAAGGAAGAGTCAACATTAACCCAAAAATTAACTTTATGAAGGGTTAACGTTAACATTGTAAGAGTTAAATTTAACTTTTGGAATAGTTAAATCTGACTTTTAGAAGAATTTAAATTAACTTTTAGAAGAGGTAAAATTAACTTTTTGAAGAAGTTAGAGTTAACTTTAGCCAAGGGTTAATTTTAAGTTTTGGAACTTTTAGAAGAATTTAAAGTAACTTTCAGATGGGTTAAATTTTACTTTTGGAAGACAGAAAATTACCGTTTAGAATGATTAGGGTTAAATTTCGGAAGAGTTAAATTAACTTTCGCAAAAGTTAAAATTAACCATTTGAAGAGTTAATATTACCTTCTGATAGAGTTAACGTTAACTTCGAAGGATTTAAATTTAACTTTTGGTATAGTTAAACTTAACTTTGGGAAGAATTAAAATTAACTTTTAGAAGGGTTAAAGTTAACTTTGAAAGAGGTTAATTAACTTAATAATTTAACAAGTTAACTTTAACTTTTGGAAAATTTTAATTTAACTATTTTAAAGGTTAATGTTAACTATTTTGAAGGTTAATGTTAACTATTTTAAAGGTTAATGTTAACTATTTTAAAAGTTAATGTTAATTATTTTAAAAGTTAATGTTAACTTTTCTAAAAATAATGTTAACTATTTTAAAAGTTAACATTAACTATTCTAAAATTAATGTTAACTTAAGCAAAAAGTTAACTTTTACTTTAAAAAAAAAAAAAACTCAAACCAACGTAATCAACATAAAAGTCGCACTTTCTTCGAAAACCTTCCGCATCATTTACAATAAAATTTCAAAGTGAATAATCCAATTAGGTACCCAACTAAATTATAAAAGATTCCCACATAATAAAACAAAAACAAAAAAAAAATTGTTAATATAATTCAGCTATATGGAATCCCATCATCGTTCGAGCGTATAAAATATATAATTCCAAATCTTATCAGATTTCACAAAAATAAAAAAAAAATTCTTCGTACAAAATTGAAAGGTGATTTAATTTACAAGAAACAAAAAAAAAAAAAAAAAGAAAGAGAGAGAAATAAAAAATGAAAATGTTAATCATACGACATGATCTTGAATTTCGGATCTTTGAGTTTTAGTATTGAGAAAACCTCATCGTAATTATTAGCACGATCGTCGATCAACGTGTGCGACAAGATGTTCCGCCCTGTTAAATAATTCCAAGATCACTTGAGAGTGATCTACAACAGAAACGATCTTTCACGACTTGATTTCTCTCCTTTAGTATATGATCTAACTCAACTATGTCTTCCGCAGGTTATTACAAAACACTTACTGTCAATAAGTAAATAAATAAATAAATAAATAAATAAATATTTTCGTTTATTTATTTATTTTTACTACTTTTTGTATTACTCATATAAAAATTACTATTTCTATTATTATTATTATTATTATTATTATTATTATTATTATTATTATTATTATATAATGATAATATAATAATAGTAATAGTAATAATAATTTTTAAATAAATCATACAAAAAAATGATAAAAATAAATAAAGAAAGAAAAAAATTCCTCACAAAAAATGGGGAATGAAAAAAAGGCACGTGTTTTTATTTTGGTTTGATAATACATTTTTAAGATGCGCTCCCAATGAGGCAACAACTGCAGTCTGGTTAGTTTATAATACCATCTCTTATTGTATATTATTTGTGGATTGAAAGCCGGTTACGTTTCGTAACTTGAGAGACGCACGTGAATGACTCTCAAAAGTCCATTAATCAAGAGAGAAAGAGAGAGAGAGACTCGCAACATTTTTATTTTTTTTTCCAACTCTTTGACAATTAACTGTTCATTCAGGACTATGTACTTTAAAAAAAAAAAAAAAAT